AAGCAACCAAAAAAATCATAAAAGCGCAACGGATACACCCAACCACAACGCAACCAAAACAATAAAAGATAATGGAAAACAAAAAGCCGAAGCGTGGGAAGACCAGCGCACACACACTCTCATTACTCCCGTAAAGCAAAACACACACACACAGAGGGAGAGAGAGAGAGGTCGCCCACTCAATGCAATAAAAACAAAAACAGAACAGTTACGGTGCTCCGTCCATGCAGCCAGGCAGGACGGCAGCGGTGCGTGTCGTGCAAAAGAGAGCACCAACGGGCCTGCATGGGTGTGCATGCATATATACAATGGGCACATTATGTGTGTGCTTCGTGGGGTGAGGTGACGGTGAGGTGTTAAGACACATTATTGAGGAAAATCCTAAGTGTATCATCAATTACGCCTAGTTGTCGTGTGCCGTTAGGACTGATTCTTCTATTCATGGTCGAATAGGTTTTTTGAGTTTTTTCAAACCCCTGTTACTCTAATATTACTGGAAGAAAATGGAATAGGAAGCCTTCTTGTTATTATGCGGGCAGAGACACTCTCTGTGCGCAGCTTGTTTTTGGTTGCCTTCCCATTTCTCGGTCCACCATGGACGTTTGGGTGGATAGCACTTTGCTGCAAGGAGCGGCGAATAAAGGCAGCTCGAAATCACACGCCTTGACGCGGGAGCCGCAACGGAAAAATGAGTTTTTGGAGTCTCGCGGAATACAGGCATCCTTTGCCTACGTGGTGTCAGCAGAAACCCTGCAGACGACATATCGCGTGGTCGCGTGTTTACACTTCAGGACTTGGCGAAGGGAAGCGGCGGGGTCTTGTGGCAGGAGGAGTCCAAAGTTTGCCACTTCATGAGTTATAATATATCTAGTACTAACAAAGTACATCGTGTCATGAGAGTGGCAGTCCGAATATATATTCTTGGAGCAGACACTAAGGAGGTGGCGAACCCACAGCCTCTCTATTTAACTTTTCTCTTCATCCGTCATGTTTGACTTCTTTAGATCATTTCAGGATCCGGCCAGCAGCCCAGCCCAATATTGCTTTGTATAAGCGTTTGTGAGTTGTTATCTCTGCCACTGGGACGTTTGCATGCAGCAAACTGCGGTAGGCGATTAATAGCTATTTGCCTCTATACGAGCACCTGTGGAGGGGTGTTTGTTCTCTGGTTGCCGAAGCTTTTAGTGCGTGCGAGACGTCGGCGGTTGCTTGTTTATTTTCCATTATTTATTTATATTATCGTGAGGCGCTGTTTTGCTCGATGGGGCGCAGTGTTAGGAAGGAGAACTGTTTGCTCAAACTGGTGTCACGCCGTGCGGTGCGCTTATTGGGAGAACAGCGGCTCTGTTGAACAAATGTTCAACTTGACGGCAAAATACTTTTGTCGGGATGCCGGTGGTAGAAAAAGATCTGCTTAGCCCAACACCTGAAAAAGAGTGGCACCATTATTTTGAGTAGAATCCGCTTTTGCTTTAGAATTTATGGCCATGAGGGTGTAATTTCCTCCTCGACAAAAATGGAAATGAAAGAGCGACGTTGTTGAACTCAACAAGAGTCCTTTAATTGTGTAGCTCCTTGTTGCATTGATTCTCGGCAGCGGGGAATCATCGTTCCACCGTGCTAGCTCGGTGGCATGGCGTATCGTGTGCGTTTCACGCCCTCTCCGGGGCCGGGACCTCCTTTTACGTTTCCACTCGGCAGGACGGACGTGCTCGAAGACGGTGGCCGGCGTGTGGGTTATGGAATTTATTTGGAAAAAAACACGATGAACAAGCAACAGAAACGCAATGGACCCATATTTGGCACTCGATTCTGGAAATTTACATTGCGTTCCATCGATTTGGAAAGTTGGTTTATGGAACTTGTCTTGGTGATATGAGCTTGGGATTCTTGCACGTGCCGCATGCTTGAGGAATAGGCGTGTGGAAAATAATTCTTTCCCGATCTTATACATCGTTACCGGAGGCATGGCGTTTTCAAGGCGCGGATCCACGTTGTCTGCCGATGCAGCCGATGAAAGGCGACACACGCATGGAGCCCGCTGGAGAAACCGCTGTTGAAGTGATTTCGGGCCGTTTTTCACCCACCGAGTGAATTTCGATCTCTTTTCTTCTGCCCATAGATGCGGGTTTCTGCGAGAGACTTTTTTCTGTAATTGAATACCTATATGGGTGGTGAAATCTCCTTCTCCAGCGCACCTGCTATTTCCTTTGTACTATATATATGGAGAAAGAGAGGGAGAGGGAGGCTCTGTATTTGGTTTACGAATGGGAATGCGAACTGGAAAAGAAGACACTGTGACCTTCTTTCTACGAAGTCCCCACAACCTTATTATTACTGCATGGTTTATTCTCCCTTTCCTGAGGGGCTTCCTTCTGCCCTTTAGGGGAAAGCATACAATCAAACATAACATGAACGGAATTATTACTCGTTTTTTTATTTGTTCCTCACACTGTAAGCCTGAGGTTCTGGACCGCATCCTTCATGACGTCGAGAATTTGTGCAATACCTTCCATTTCTACTGTCGTGACGCCACTTGGGGAGTGACACAACAGGAAAAATTTGCATCTATGGTGGGCTTCCTATTACTATTAAGAAAAGCAACAGTGACCACACTCCTTTAACCCCAGACAGCCGTGAACAAGCGCCACCACATCGTTATGTCTTGCCCTTGCAGATATGGCTGACGCACCTGTACCCCATTGAGCCTCCTCTGGCGTTTCTCCTCAGCGCGGAACAAGGCTGCAGAATAGCGAGCAACCACAAATACGTTGATGCTACCGGACGTTGTCACACGCCGGAGCTAGCAGCATGGCATCCAGTTTCATCCTCACTTTGTGATGTCGTCAAGAAGCTGTGCCAGTTGCTGTCAGCTGAAGGCTTAATCCCGCTTTGTTTTGGTGAAGAAGGCGTCAGCTCACCTTCAAAAGGCCATGCGACAGCAGTCTCACAGCGATTGTGTCATAGATTAGAAAATGGTGACGATGATAAACAGACGGATGAGCATGAGAGGTGCGTGGTGTGCTTTTCTCCCAAGGAAACGGTGCTCGTTCCATGTGGACATTATTGCCTATGCGATGCATGCGCAACAAATGTGACTCATTGTCCTCTGTGTCGTGGGTCGGTCAAGTTTCGTCAGCGTGTGTTTTCATGACAGTCAAGAGGTCGTCTATTTGAAGAGGGAGACAAAAGCCGGGACGCCACAAAGTGTCATCGGAAGTCATTCACGCAGTGAAACGATCCCAAATAGCAATGGCACACCAATAAAAAAAGAGAAACATGCGCAGTGATATGTTGTCTTTGTCCACTAAAGCCTTGACAATTGCAAAGAACTTCCCTGAATTTCTCTCAGGCTCCTTTGGTTTAACTTGGATTTTATTTTCCGCATTCATTCGAGGCAAAGCAACAGTGGACCGCTAAAGCATCGTTCTCATTTTGGTTTATGCCAGGCATTTGGACCGCCCCAATCGCATTGCCACCCGCAACCAGCGTCTCTGGGAGGTGGCGGGCTGGTGACGAGACGTCCCCGCCGCCCGGACACACGCGCAGCACACGTGTCCTCCCATGAGAGGGCGGCGTTTGACACGGAGTGGGGCCGACATGATGGCGCCGCGCCTCCCATGGGCCGAAGCGCGACGGCCAGGCAGAACGGAAGAAAAAGCCCTTGCGGCGAAGGAACGCCCCGCGAGCTGGAGGAAAAAGGCCCTCACGGGGCAAGTTCCCTCCTGCGGCGCGGCCATTTGTTCCACCCGGGCCACGAGGCGTCGCAAAACGCTATTCGCTGGCGGATCTCACGAGCAGCTGGAGGCATCAAGTATCCTCAAACAGCACTCACCGAAGTTCTCGCGGAGAAGTTATAGGAATCGCCCCTGATGAGAGTGTCTTCACGAAGAACCTCCTCATTCATTGCCTAGTTTTTCCGCCCGGCTATGCCGATCCCGCGGACAACGATTCCGACGGTAGCCACAAGGGAAAAAGGCAGATTTACGTTCAATTTGGGTTAGCAAGAAAATGTCCGTCACCGCAACCTTCTCCACTGCAGCACCAAGCTACCCACAGCCGCCGATTTGGGTTTCCAGAAGATCTTCTGTTCCGACGCCGTGGGAGTGCGTGTGTGCTATCCGCTTCTCAATGCCGTTGCTTTCTTTGGACGCTCTTGTGCCGCACAGCCGCCCTGCAGGTATAGGCATTGACAGACACACAAGCACATGTAAATACGCACAGACACACACACAAACACAAACACACGCCACGTCGTACATGCTTTGGAGCGGCGTGAACGCTGAAAACGCATGTACGCACAAGATTCTGGCTGCGGTGGCTTTTGCGAGGAGGAAAAAAGCCTGCAATTCATTTTTCTGACATGTTGCTGGTGTGGTGTTGGCGGCATGCAGCTGATTGGGTGGTGTGTCAATTGAGGGTGCTTGGGGTACGTGCGTATCGCCTCCCGCACAGCAGCTGCACGTGCTGCCGTCTCTCTTTTGCTGCTCATCGGCCGATGTGGGATTCTTCGCCTGTGTGGGGTGATGCGCGCCAGCGGCGGAGCGGGCACGTTGGAGGGACAAGAATTGAACGACCGGCGGCAGCGCTTTATTGCTGCGAATGACCGTTGTGCCCTTTTGCCTCCCGCTGGTTGTTATCGTGTGTGGGCGTTGCTCGGTGTGTGCTGACGCGTGAATAACGACACACTCGCCGTGACTCCTGCTGCTATTGGTGACAGTAGCTGTGTGTTCCCGGTGCACTGTTCTTCCGTCTCGTTCCGTGTGTCTGTGTGCGTGAGTTGTCGTTGTTGGGAGTGGCTGCTGCGGGGATGATGATGCCACTCACTGTGGCTGGGTGGCGGTGCTCACTGTTTCATCCTCTTTTCTTGGCATGTTTCTCCCTATTTCTTTCTCAATCACACACGAAGAAAGCAAACAAGCGCTAATCGCTACTGTGAAATTCGAAGGAACTGAAAGGATCAACAACAGCACACACACCGCCCACACACACATATTTGTATGCTCTCACGTGTTGCTGCTGTCAAGGCACCCCGCACAGACAACCGTCGCCGCGTGACCGGATCCAGCGGTATGAGGAGGGAAGGAAGAGAGAGTGAACCGCAGAGGCCCAGCATGTACCGACGTGTGTTTGCTTCCGCTGTGCTGCTTCTCGTTGTGATGATGTGCTGCGGCACCGGTGGAGCTACAGCCACTAATAAGGGGAATTCAGGTCAGGAATCTTCACCGAAGAAACATTTTTGGAGAGATAAGAATGATGGAGAAAAAGTGAGTTCTTTACGTGTTCCAGTTCTTGTTGAGATGAATAGTAATGTGTTTGCCGTTGCCGAGGCGCAGTGCACGGAAGCCGGCAAGAGTGGTTTTACTGGTATTGCCTCGGAGCTCCTGGAGTGGACCGATAAAGAATCAAAAGAATTGGATACAACTAAACTGAAGACACAAGTACTGGAGGAATCTCAGTTTGAAAGAGGGAATTTTCCTTTTCTAAACGTTACTCAGAATGCCTCCCAAAACCGGACAAAAGTACGTGTGAGCCGGCCAACAACCGTTGTGAATGGGGATATTATTTACATGTTTGCTGGAACCTACAGTTTTGAAGTTACTGAAGCTGCTGGTAGCAAAGCTGCAGCAGCTAAATGGGAACTTTTGGTGGCTGTGGGAAACGTCAGTAATGATGGGAGCAACGGTAAAAAAAAGATTTATTGGAAAGACGCTTCCGTTATCCCGTGGACTGAGTTTGAAAACCAGCACAAATCCTTGACAGGGCTGATTGGCGGCGGTGGATCGGGTGTTCAGATGAAGGACGGTACGTTTGTGTTCCCGATGGAAGGGACGAAGAAGGATGGAAAGGCCGTTTCGCTGATCATATACTCGTCAGACATTGCGAGTGGGAATCTGTCGAAGGGGATGTCTGCCGATGGCTGCGGTGATCCCTCCGTCGTGAAGTGGGAGAAGGACAAACTCATGATGATGACTGCGTGTGATGATGGCCGCCGCAGGGTGTACGAGTCCGGTGACAAGGGGGAGTCGTGGACGGAGGCACTCGGGACACTCTCGCGCGTGTGGGGCAGCAAACACACGGGACCTGAGAAGGGCGTTAGGAGCGGGTTCACCACAGCGAGGATTGAGGACAGGGATGTGATGCTTGTTACTCTGCCGGTGTATTCTAAAGAGAAAGAGAAAGAAGAAAAAGAAAAGGGCAGTCTCCATCTTTGGCTGACGGACAATACGCACATTGTCGATATTGGGCCGGTATCCGATGATGACGTTGCCGCCAGCTCCCTGCTGTACAAAAGTGGTGAAAGTGGAAATGATAATAATAATGGGGAGGAGTTGATTGCACTGTACGAGAAGAAGAAGAGCGGTGATGAGGACGCATCACTCGGTATGGCTTCTGTGCTTCTGACTGCGCAGCTGGAGAAGGTGAAGGAGGTGCTGAAAACGTGGAAGAATGTGGACGAACGTGTCTCCCAGCTGTGCACCTCTGAGAAGGTTACCTCAAGTGAAACTGCCTGCAGTGCTGATATTAAGATCACGGATGGGCTGGTTGGGTTTTTGTCCGGCAACTTCTCTGAGAACACATGGAAGGACGAGTACCTCGGGGTGGACGCCACAATAAAGGGGAATGATGGGGCAACAGAGGCTTCCGATGGTGTGAAATTCCAGGGAGCGTGGGCGGAGTGGCCCGTTGGCAAGCAAGGGGAGAATCAGCTGTACCACTTCGCGAGCTACAACTTCACTATTGTGGCGACGGTGTCCATCGACGGTGTGCCGAAGGAGGGTTCTCCCATTCCTTTGCTTGGTGCGAAGATGGCTGGCGATGGAAAAAAAACCAAAATTATGGAGTTGTCATACGACAGCGGAAAGAAGTGGATATTACTGTGCGGTGACGGAACGAACGAGGAGCTCAGCAGCGTTTTGGGGGCAGAGAAAACTCAACACGTGGTGCTTTTGATACGGAACGGCAGCGATGTCTCCGCGTACGTCGATGGTCAGCGTGTGGGTGGGAATGAACAATGCGAATTGAAAACTAAGGCATCGAAAGTAATCTCCCACTTCTACATTGGAGGGGATGGAGACAAGACACGGGAACAAGAAGACGTGTCTGTGACTGTGAAGAACGTCCTGCTGTATAACCGTCCGTTGAGCTCTGAAGAGATTACTGCCCTTACCCCGAATAAAGCTCCCACTCCATCTTTGGAAGAGAAGCCGTCGGATCCTTCAACCGTTTCTTCTGGTTCCGTTGTACCTCCCACTCCTCTGGTGACCCCGAATGCTCAGCAAACCGAAACTCCGTCTACTCCTGCCGGAACACAGCTGACGGAACAGGGACAGTCGATGGGGAGCAGTAAAGGTGCGGGCAGTGGCGGTGCATCCACAACAGCGGTGTCCACTGTCAGTACTCCCTCAGCAGAAGAGGAGTCCGTAGTACAGGTGACGTCAGGAAAATCTCTCGATGGAACTAAAACGATGGGTGGCGGTTCTACTGCTGTTGGCGAGCCAACGATGCAGACAAGAGAAGGAGGAACGAATGGGCAGGAGGAGGAGTTTAACACACAGGACAGGGACGTGAATGCTGCGGCGCTCAGCAGCAGCCTCGTAAATGTGTCGCAGAGGAATAACAGGTGATGCCGGCAGCATGCGTGGTAGCGTACTGCCGCCATCGCTGCTCCTTCTGTTGGGACTGTGGGGGTTTGCGGCTCTGTGAGGAGTGACTGGCTGCCGCGTGGGACACTTGCGACCCCCGCTGCACAGACACACACACCTGGCCATGAATTTCTTTTCCTAAATAATTTTTATTTACTTTTCTTGCTTTATTTGCGTTTTTAAATTGTTGTTTTCCTTTTTTCTATCTCACTCCCTCATGCCTTCTTTTTTGCTTTTGGGGGCAATCACTTTGGACGTTTTTTCTTTTCTACTCTTCCCTCTTTAATTGTTTCTTCTGCACTCTTCCTGCGAGGGGTGCCGTGTGTTTGCCGCCCAACTGCTCCACTCGCACACCCACCGACACGCTCACGACGACGGCCCTGTGCGCCTCGCCTGCTGCACGCATGAGGAGGGGCCGCGACGAACGGCGCGCTGAGGGAGCCGTGACGTGTGGGCGTGCGACGAGGGCCTGTGGGGCGGAGCACACATTTCTTTCCCTCTTGTTTTGTTTTGTTTGCGTCCAGGGCGGGCAGACACCCGCAGCGCCACACACACAGCCACACCCTGCCGCCGTGTTTTTCTTTTTTTTGTTTCTTTTTTTTCTGTGGACGGGTGTGTGCCGCTGCGACCGTGCGGTGATGGAGGGCGGAGAGCTGTGCCGGACGTATTGCCGACGGACCACTGTGCATCCTCAGTGACTTCCTTACTTAATGGCTGTCTGCTTCATACCGTCATGAGCGAAGTGTTTGTCCTCTTTTTTTTCTTTACTGCCCACACGCGTTGCCGGCTCCGCTGCTGTGCGTCCCATGGACTGCATGAAACGACGATTGGAAGAACAGGCCGGATGCCGTGTGAAATGTTGGGGATGCTGTGTGGGCTGGTGGAACAGTAAAGTCCTTTATTGACTTCTTTTTATTGTTGAGGGCAGTATTTATACACAAACACACGGTCATATTGTTGTGGTCGGCACATGAAATAAACGTCTTTCCGAATCATTGTTTTTACTTTTTTATGTTGCTTGGGAGTTCTTCTGGACTCTCACCATTTTTTCTTTTGTTTTTGGTAAATCACTGCGGTTCATTTCTTTGTTTTTGCTGTGTTCACTGTCGCTGAGTGTCTCCGCGTCCCGTTGAGTGCCCCACTGCTGGCCGTGCTGTTGACATGTCCTCATTTCTTTTTTCCTGCTAGAGACACTGATAGTCCGCGACGACGATTGTTTGTGTTCCCCATTGCGATGGCACGAGGGTGACTGGGCGCCGGCCTGCTGAGTGCACTCGGAGGGAGAAGATGGTGTGCGCCGTGCCTCACTGTGAGTGTGGGACGCCACCGACCACGACCTGCTGTGGGGCGTAATTCCAATCCGTCGGGGCAGAGAGAAGTGAATGACAGCGCCGTGAGCTTGTATGCGCCCCGTCCATCTCGTTGCGGCCATGGGTGTGTGCGGTGCGCATGGCACTATCTTGCGGTGCGACGTG